GGGGGGGGGGGGGGGGGGGGGGGGGGGGGGGGGGGGGGGGGGGGGGGGGGGGGGGGGGGGGGGGGGGGGGGGGGGGGGGGGGGGGGGGGGGTGAGAGGAAACAATAATAAGTGTTCGATAAGGATATAACGAAAAAAAGAGAAATTCCATTTTCTTTGTGTTTGTACAAGGTACGAGGTGACGTTCGGTGGGTCTGATGCAAAGTTCGAGAATTAATTTGGGATTTTGTTCTTCGTTACCTTTTCGTTTTTCGTTGCTCTTTTTTTTTTCTTGCCAAGGGACTCAACCGATCAGATGGAATGATTGCAATTATATAGGATTTAACGATCTACGTACGTAATATGGTACCGGTAGAATCTGCGATCCGTGTAAAAGACGTTGGAGCTTTCGTAAATGTAAGAAACAAGGAAAGACTGAAAATAGTACAAAAGGAATAAAGAACAAAGAAAGAGATCTTCCGCACGAGTATAATCGTTTTTTTCTTTGCGAGTGAACGACCTGAGTATAACGTGTCTCGAACAAGTAAAAAGATTAACGGTGAGAAAGTCGACTGAGAGTGCTTTAAGAGAGATACAGTGAAATAGGCGGGAAGTTTGAAAAGTAGAGTGGAAAAAAAAAAATTAACGAATTCTACGTAAGGAATTGAGTAGCGAGTGAAGATCGACACGGGAAAATGACGGTATCTTGTTCTATATATATTTTTGTATTACGTAACGAATAAATAATGAAAAATATAATTGACACGTCATTCTCCCGATAGGGTCGCGTCTATCGAGTAAAGTATGTACAAGGAACGTATACAGAGACGTGTAGATACACGCAGTATACATTCGTAATGAATAACGTTGATTAACTATATATATATATATAGATATTGGTAATACATTATAAAAAAAAAATGAAAATTTATAATTCGTTAACCAGGAGTATTTATAATATATTTTATTGTGACGTCAGATCAATAATATAGAGTTCGGATTTCGACAGTGCAGACAGTATATGCTAATAACAATTATAAAAAGGGGGGGTAGGAGGGCCATTAGTGATCGAAGAGGTCAGAAAGGTCAGTGAGAGTGAAAGAGAGAGAGAGTGATAAAGAGAAAGATAAAGAGCGAGAGTGATACAAAGGTTTCGTTGGTACATCTACTGTCAAAATTCATTACTTGCTGAGGTACAAATTTGTAATAATTATTTAACGGACACGCAAAGAGTGTAATGGTAGTACGGGGGAGGGGGGTACGCTTGTCTGTTTTTTTTTTTCCGAAACTGGACGCACATTTTCACGTTTTTGTTTTTCGTTCGTATTCGTTACCACGTGTCACCGACTTATCATTATCAAGTATTGCGGAAACGATGGACGAGCGCAGGTGAACGAACCCGAAATTTACAAATATTAAAAAAAAAAAAAATTGCGGAAATTCGCACGGCACGTCGTATCATGTATTTCGTTGTCTTCTGTCATTAGATGACAATTTTTTTTTTTTTTGATTAATACACAAAAAAATTTCGTATTGCATCCGGACACGACCGCTTATATATTTTGATGCACAGATATATATGTATACACACACGCGTTCACATTCTTCCAGGACTCGTGCATGCACACACTCGTGGATCTCGCGAGAAAAAAAAATTGCGAATCGACTGGCGATTTCGATGAAACACGCAGATTTGTGAATGCGCAAAAAAAAATGGCGGAGATTTGGCGCGTTAATTAGAATTGCCAGGGGTGAGTCGATGGCAAGCCTAATTAGGAAGCGCGATGAAAGGTAATAGAGGAGAAAAGAAAGAAAGCACCAGAAAGAGAATGTAGGAAGAAAATGGAAATTTGGTAATAATACGAATTTGGGAATTATATACAGTGTCACTGTATCAGCGTCGTATTCGTGAGAGAAGAAATTTCATTGTTCGGATGTCAAAGAGTAATGTTGAAAGACGAGCCCCTTTTTTTATGTAGGAAATATACAGTGCTTCGCTTTATTGACCGAGCTTATTCTTTAAACGGACTCCAAAGAAGCTTTATAGTTTAATATATAGTATTGTATATGTATATATATATATAACATGTTCTTCCTTAAGACGTTTAAACAGATTTAACGAGCTTGAGTGGCTTGAAGATTGAAGATTGGGAAAACGTCGAACAGGTAAGTAACTAAAGGGTGTCGCTTAAATAGGTATTAGGCATATAAAGGGGTGATGGGAGACACGGGAAATTTCGACGACCAAGTTTCGTTTCGGCATGTATATATCATAATCGTATATACATACATGTACATGTACGAGAGATTGAAAAATAGTATTACAAAGAAAGAACAATGATTTTTACGTTTTTTTTTTGTCCCATTGAAAATACCAACAAATTTGCCAATCAATTCATTTTGGACGCGCGGATCCGCTCTCACCGCGTGTTTCAAAATTGGCGTCGCCATCGTAGAGTTACACCTAAGGTGATGATAAGGAGTATATCCAGTACTGATAACAAGATAGTAACATATAACCTATATCGATTGGGCAGAACACGTGGTTGCGCCCCACGTGCTTTTGTTTACATTACCCATGTGCTCTGGCGGCACCCCTGAGAAAAAATATTTCACGATTTAAAGGCCCAGGCTCGAAATTACCGGAGACGAATTCAACAACCTGAGTTTTTTTTTTATGTAACTGACTGAACGAGACTTACATTGATAATTAATCAAAAAAAAAAAAAAAAAAAAAAAAAAAAAAAAAAAAAAAAAAAAACAGGGAGTCGAGCAAACTTAAAAACAAAGAACCCAATTTTTCGCAATCGTCGCGTCATCGGCGCGCAGAATCAATGATTTCTCATTTACGTAATATCACGATAACATGTCTAATATTTTATTTTTTTTTTCGTTTTTTCCCTTTCTCCTCTATTTCAATCCTGACATAGACACGTATATGTAACTTTACATACACACGTGTTAATGTGTATATAATTTACATATATGTATTTATAGTCACTCGTATATATATATATATTATCTAATATGTATATCATTAGATCGAAATAATTAATTAAATATTTTCTAATTTAATAACAAGCTAACAATTCTCGATAATTATTCATAAAAACTAGAGCTTTTCTTTCTCTCATCGTTGGAACCGCGCGCAGGCAATTTTCAGAAATCCCATTAATTCCAAAATCGCGCATCCCGTACGTCCTTCATTTTTTCACTGTCTGCCATCTCCGTTTGAACTGTTATCGATTGCTGCTGCGTCTCGTAAACATAATTAAGCCCAATCTTTCCTCAATTAATCGAATCGTTCATGATTAATCAATAAATCTGTTACCAACGTACGTCAAATCGAGTACGTGAGATGTCAAATGAAATTTTTTACAATTTCTTTTTATTCCTCCTCAAAATTATATAATCTGCTGAGCTTTTAAGGACAATAAAAAAAAAAACGTTGTCTCCATTTCGCGATCGCGATTATCGATACAATAATTAATCCATCGATTAGTAATTAGCATTGTAAATTGTCTTACAACGCTTCGCGATATACATAGGTATACGTTAAGTGTTAAACTTGCGTGTGATTTTTCATTTCTCACATCCTATATATACTGTATGCAAATGTATGTTCGTATCGACATATGTATACACCTAGCAATGTATATAAGTATATATAGAAACAGTGTGTAGCTTGATCGATAGAATTGCGCGTTGGCGTAAATCATTTCTTAAAGACGCTTATTCGTTTAATTTGTTTTTTCGAATATCCTTTGTTTGCCGTTTTTTTGAATTCATTTTTCATTTTTATAGTATATATATAGTATATTCTTTCGAACGTGTCCTTGAGTGCAAATAGTCAACGAATAATTGGCAGTAATAGCAGAAGGTCTTTAGTATTCTCTTATCCTCTTCCTCTTTGAGTTAATAATCGATATCCCATTGGGATAGAAAGTGGAAGATGAAAAATCGAAAATACAAAAAAAAAAAATATTTTTTTCCACCGAAAATAGAGACGAAGTATCACGGAGTAGAGAAGTTTGTCACTTTGGAAAATTATTTTTATATTTTCGACTTTTCACTTGTCTGTCACGCGTCGCCTTTTTTCTCTTACGTTATCTCGTAAGTACAAATTATACATACTTATATCCCGAGGCTGCCCACATGTTTATCCTTGTGTATAAGTTTTGCATAGGTATCGTATGCATCTATATATGTATATATATAGAGGAAGGTGTATCGAGGCGCGGTGGATTTAAACAACTTTTTCTTTTTGCATTAGTCTAAACCTATACCTTTCTCTCTCTCTCAATCTCTCTCTCTCTCTATATATATACAAATCTTTTTTCTTTCCCCCGTTTATATTAAACTTTTATTTGTTTCGGCGATGAGTTCGCATAACGACTAAACAAATTCGCGACGAATATTAATGTAACGTGAATCGCGAATTTCATGTCGATCAACAAGTGAACGACACGTGGGTACGCATATTACGTATTGGTAATGAAGGGGAGAAAAAAAAAAACGAAAAAAATTCAAACACGATGTACAGTGTTAAATTAATACAGAAGAGTCATTAATGGTGGGACGCGCAACACACGCAACATAATGACGCGACGACTAACACCAAAAAAATGTTAACAATCACATCCCCGTATATTTGCTCCTACGTTAACATCATCACCACGAGCATGAACATTATAATAATAATCATCATCATCATCATCATCATCACAATCGCGTTTCAGGGGCGTCCACGGCTTAAAAGTTACAGGTTTCAATTATCAAGTAAGTTTAAATTAAATTAATAAGTTTAGAAACAATTTATATTGACCTTAATAAAACTCTCGCGTTACTTATTCTAGTAATCTTGTTTAACAGGGCGGTTTGGGCTGAGGAAGGGTGCTGCTAATCAGAGCACCCCGCACGATTCGATCTAGCTTAATTAATTAATCAAGGCTCAATGACTTGACGGTAGGAATAGGGTATGCGGAATTAGGATTTACATTAGAAAAATAATAATAGCTAAGAACAAAAAGAAATTATATAATATAAAAGAGGCCTTGTGTGACAAGACTCACTGGATTGGGATTTTCAAATGGAATATCTTTTGTTTCTTTTTTCTTTTTTTCTTTCTTTTCCAATCACACATGTACGCAGTAACATGATATAAGTCCCGTATAAAGTAACAGTAGCAATAAACGGTAAAGTATGAGGAAATTTCGAAAATTCTTTATAAATCCAATCTTCATGGTCAAGGGAATTGAGGACATGAATAACAGGTGTTTTCTGGGCGAAGCTCGAGGGTGAAAGATGAAAGGTCGAAGCTTGACCTTCTGTTAATCAGTCATGGGTAAGTACATTATTAGATTGAGACAAGCTTGTCCCAGGATTGTGAGTCGGGATGGGTTTAAAAGTCCTGGTGAGTATATAGTGACGGTAGTAGTAATAGTAAGTAGCAGTAGTAGAAACGGATGTAAAATGACGTAATGGATCAGCCAGGCAGCACAGCAGCGGGCGCAGAAAGCCTCGTGTTTATAATAATGACAGTTACTCAAAAAAAAAATCAAAAAAAAAATGACAAATGGCATTCCGTCATTTTTCTATACGGAATCCCCAGTTTACTGATAGCGATTACGACACGTTGCTTTACTCTCGTTTAGCTATTTTACTTTTTCTTATTCTCAGAAATCCTTCCCTCGTCCCTGCGACTTTAAAATCTTTCGTCTCATGATTTTCTCAGGAATCCTTCCTTTCGTTCTCTTCGCTCTCTTGGTTTTCAATTTCTTCGATCTTCCCTATACGATCCTCTTCAACGTTCCAGCTTCCCGAGTAGCGTGGGTCAAATTTTTTTTTTTTAATTTCTGTAACATTCAACGGTCCGCTGTTCTCTTCGCGACTGTTCACTCTCGTTCCACATTGGTTTTCGTACTCTGTCCAAAGGTCATGAAATTTTGAGGTTACGAGGGAGGACGAAGGATTTTTTTTTTAATCGATCGTGAGCTTTCTGTTAACTTCTGTATGGAATATATTTTTGACTAAAATAATAAGGATTTTCGACAAAAAAAAAAAAAAAATAAGGATCGATCACGAGATGACCCTGCGTCTTTAAAGTGAACCGAAAAATTGGCAGTTGCGCGCGCAGGGTCATTTGCGGCAGTGAAATGGATTGCTGTTTGACTTAAAAAAAAAAAAAACGTTTCAGGTTTAAAAAACCAATGGAAAAAGGTACGCGAGCAAAAGTATTTCGTTAGCAGAAGAAGAAAGGGGTGAGCGGAGAAACTATGATGAAGGGAATGAACTTTTCGACACAAACTAAAGAGCGAGGACGCCAATTTATCGCCATCCCCCACAAATTTACATACCCGAGAGACTCTCGTATGGGGGATAATTAACATTATTATAATTATTATACAAAATAGAGACGACAATATGACTGAAAGAAAATAAATAGCTATAAACGCGATTAAGTACTGGAAAGCGTCCAGGCCCGAGATCAGTGTGTGTGTGAATAGAAGATGGAGGAGAGGAGGGGAGGAAAGTCTTACGTCGAACAGCCATCTTCGTTTTACGTCAGAATAGCAGGAATGAAAATTCAAAACGAAAGGAATCAAAGAACAAAACGTAATGGCAAGATGACGAGAATTGGACCAGAGAAGTAGCGAAGAGTGACGTCAATAAAAAAAAAAAAAAAAGGAAAATAAAAATCTACTAACAATCGGACCGTATCGTCGTTCGCGGGAATTCCAGGAAATAAAAGAAGAGAATCGAAAGAAAGTGAATAAAGAAATTCCTTTAGATACTCGTCTCGTGCACCAGTTTGGGCAGATCAGTGACATTATCGGCTTTCGATTCGACGTTATTTCCGTCAGGAGCATTTCCCTTTTGCTCCGCGTCATTTGGGCCCGCTGACTGCTGCTGCTGATTGAGGGCGCTATTGGACGTGAATCTGTTGGTATTCTGGCTTGGATGATTGTAATGATGATGGAGATGAGGATGATGATTGTTGTACGACGCCGAGCCGGGGACGTTTAGCAGTAATGGCGACGCCGGACTCGTCTGGTTCTTCTCGCCGCCGCCGGTGGCGCTATCGGCGCGCGCGTTCGCAGCTGCGCGCGCAATCCTCGCGCTGTTGCCGCCCGACGGATTTGCTGGGTCCTCGTCGATGTACGTGAAGTCCGAGAGGGGTCTGGGACCGGTGTGGCTGCGTGAGCTGCGCATACTGTGTAAGCTGTGTAAACTATGGACAGAGCGACGCTCCTCCAAATCTTCCAGAGTCGACTTGAAAGCTCTGATTACTCGAAGCTGTAAAAACAGGGAAGTGGCGTTCTAATAATGGGGGATGCGACATTGGGATGGGCTAGTTTTTGGTTTTTGTCTTTTTTTTTTTTCTTTTTTTTTCGTTCTCGTTATTTCGCGTGTTCCTTCATTTTTGTTTTTGGCTTTTGTTTTGTAACACGCGACTCGCGCCGCCTTTGCTCCTCGGGGGGAGGAGCGGGCTCTGCTATTTTATTTTTGTGGTACTTTGACGTTGTGTGTTGCTTTCTTTTTTTTTTTAATGTGAAATCCCACGGATATCCCACATTTTTGTTTGTTTCTTTGTTTCTACTTTCTTTCTCTTGTGTTATGACGTGTTTTTCTCGACTGGCTGTGTGTTGATGACTCGTGTTTGTTTTCGTGTTCGTAATTTTATAATGTTTTTTCCATTGTTTCCTCGTGGGAACGAATCGTGGTTTGCTTTCAAGCGCCAGCGTGCCTATGCGCTTCGTTAGAATATTTCTTTCAACGGACACACGCACGCACATACATACGGTTATGCGAAATATCGATAGAATCACAGCTAGATGATTAAAATGAAAATCTTTTTTAGACACGTGTCTTGTACACAGATTTTGGCGTGTTTAATGCAATTTGATATGGTACCTGTACGAAAAAAGAAGTGCTTCGTAATAATTTTGAAAAATAGTTTGAGCTTCGATTACACATTAATTGCACCGGTAAACATCCAACTCCGCAGGTGGACAGGAGAAATAAAAAAAAAAAAATTAAAAATACGTAACACGTGCCTAATTATGCCTCTGTTATGCGTACAAGCACCATAAAAGCACTACTAGCCATCCAAAAAAAAAAAAAAGTGATCCGAATAAAAATAAAACAACACAAAAAAATTTATTTTTATGCATACACGAAGCTTATGCAATTTTCTCGTAATTCGAGTGCGAATGCACAAACCGATAAAAAATCCAAAAAAGATACTGACCGAACAAAAGAATACAGTTTCCAATGTCCAAGCGGACATCCAGCGTCCTTTTCGCAATTTCATTTGCAGAACGCCTCCTCTCTCTCATATTTCAATTAGTTTCGATTGCTAATCGTAATCATATGAAACCTAACTGACTCTCCTCTCAATACTAAGACGAATGGTCCGCAACAGTCCTGTACCACCTGATACTAATAATTCATATATATATTTTTTTAACTAACATATCAGATTTAATTACCCAATTCGAAAGAATTTTTGAATGGCACATATTAACGTCAAGATCCAAAGTGAAAAACTAGACGAAAATAGAAATACTTTGAATAGCAGATAATAGACAGAGATACGAGCAGATCGACAGATAAGATAAACAGATAAAGAGATTCGTAGATAAATTTACATATAGAAAAAAGACAAAAGAAATAGCGGAACAGACAGAGAGGAGAGAGAGTAGAGAAATCTTGTACAGAAATATACATATATATATACATACCCAGAAATAGAACGAGAATTAAAGATATTGAACAATTTCAAAAGTGTGTATATATATATTCATATAAATATATTTATAAAAATGATACAGAGAGGAGCGACAAGATGGAAATTGAAAAAGCGAAATCACGTGACGGTTCGAAGAAAAACCATTAAGTGATACCAATCTATCATCGGACAAGCTGTGCATTTGAATTAAATTTTTCGAAAAAACGCATACCAAACGAATTCGAAAAAGTTGGAATTTTCGGTTTGAACGAAATGAAGCGCCGCCCGCCAAATATCTGTGTTCGCTATTGCATCAGGCAAGCGAGAAGATAGAAAAAATGAAAAAATGAAAAATTGTTTAAAATAAAAATTATACGAAGCTCAATTTTGGCAACGCTAACGCACCAAGGCACCAGCTGTATATGCTTATTTTAATGTCAAAATTTGATTAGCGCTTTTTTTATATTCACGTCTATATTTACCTATATGTGTGTAATATATGCTGTAATGTATTTCTTTCTTAACTCGACACCGATAACGAAAAATCCGAGAACTAACCTACGTTACCTTCGGCCGTCCACCCTTCGCTCATGCAGCCGCAAGCCGGGCGGGCGCCAGCCGATTCTTTTTTCACCGGGAACTGACTAGTCGGTGCGAACTGGGAGTTGGGCTGGAACAGGCCCAGCTCCACCAAAACCAGAGCTCTGACAGAATCTATCAGATAATGCGATAACTTAACGGATCCTGTCGATTTTCTTGGGGACGCGTAAAATCGAGAAACGCAACCGCAGGTGCTGATCTTTGGGTTCGCGTAAGATCAGCAAACGCAACTGGATGTGCGAATGGGAGGCGAACGGTTACGTAAATTCGCGGACGTTCAGGCTGCTAGGTTGAGCTAGAGAGGGTCGGAGTAAGAGTCAAGCAAATCGTGCGCGATATAGAGAGCATCGGATCGAGAACGTAACAGAACTAATCGGAAGTGTCAAATCGAAATCCCTTCACCAATTAATAAATTGGGAGTGCTCACCGGAGCTGGTGCGGCTGATCCGTGAAGCCCGAGAACGGTATCCAAAGGGCACTTGGGTGGGCACTGCACTAGGGCACAGCACTACACTTCCGAAACATTCACGGAAAATCCATAGAATTTCCGGAATATCGCGAGAGAAACGCGACAACTTTCTACACCGTATCAAAACACGGCTAGAAAAACTATAAACAGATAGCACGGGAGCGCGAGGCAGTCCGTGACACCTCGGTCGGTGCCCCGAGACAGACTGACTTTGACAACAGCCAAATTTGAGAACTAATAATTCTGATTGGCCGAGATCCTTAACTCTTCCCTTTCCCTCCTGTCGTCCCTTTAAACCAAATCGAGAGCGAATTTCCGCGGCAGATTCGACCTCGACTAAACAATAACACAATTTTCCGAGAGCACTGGCATAACTATACGAATCAACCCGAGAGCGCAGCTTCCGAGCAGGATGGTGACCCGAAGGGAACCAGAAATTAAGAAGGTTATCTGTATCGGTAGCCGGAGTCGCCTTGTGACCGTGAATCGAAAAATCACGTAACAATGCATATGTGCACATATGTGATCTATCGTAGCGTATATCGAGATGACATCCAGGCTTACGGCTCGGACAGAAGACAATTGTCGCGTGCAACAAAAGCTTTATCTACTCTAAGGAAATTGACATTGCACACATATCTGTATATATATATATGTATTACGTGACCCACAAATCAGCAAAAAATAAATTTTAATTTTTGGGCTTGTATCGCATATAACATATACACATACTACATACTTGTCAAAAGTTTAGCATACGTAGAGTGTGTGGTGTGGTATACAATAGGGTGCGTGTACATAGCTAAAAAAAAAAAAGACACTGCTACGATTTTTCTACGTCGGGTGCTTCAGCTTTTGGATTCTGCATATGCATATGCGCGGTTATAAGGGGAGTCATTTTTGGGTTTGGCTTTGGTCCTTCTCTCTTGTTGTTTTGCTGTCTTGGAAAATATCAGGTACGAGAGGTGGGTCTTTATTCTCTGTCGTTCCTTGAATTCGGAAACTTGTCGGATTGTCATTGAGACGAGAGTGACGTCCAGTCAGCGCGATATTTCCACAGAGAAAAATAATAGTAAAACTAATGGAAGACAATGGTGCTGGGATTCTTTTGGGAATAAATGAGCGCCAGTAATTAAATTTAAAGGAAAAATATGAATGTCGCAGTTGTTTGTTAAAATCAGAAATTTTTTCATTTTCGTTTAACACTTTTCATCTGTCATATTTATCGTGCGTTCTGGATGGACGTAAGATTTTTCGTCCCTTTTTTTTTCACCTATTACATTTACACATCCAAAAACTTCACGAACATCTTTCGTCTCCTTATTTCCCTAAATTTACAAAATTTCAGTATAATCAATATACGAGATATACTGTCATTTTCTTATCGCAGATGTGTTTTGTTTTCTTTTTTGCCTTTCTCAATTCTGTATACCATCCTGATGCTCAATTTGATTTTGTATAATCCTTGAAACGACTAAGTCAAAATTTGGCATTTTCAAGTAAAGAGGCCCTACAATCATTTTTTATTGATATTTCGACTGGAAATTTAATTGGTCATACAGTTCGTAAAATATTTTCCGTACGTTGCGCGAACCGTATGAAGGTTCATGGAATTATTAAAAAAAAGTCTCGAAAAATTACAAGACTGAAATAAAATATGAAGAATTAACAAGATTTATAAAAATCGCAATAGCGACCTAAGATGATAGTCACGCGTGCGTAATAGATGCACTTTGCCTATTTGTGCACAGACATCATTAACACGTGTATACTAAAATCGTTAATACGAAACACACACGCACACAATGGTTAGTTATAATAAATCCCACTGCAACCGCAACTGCAACTGTAAAACTGCAACTGTGAAATTGCAACTGTGAAACTCGCAAAAAAAAAAAAGAAATGTAAACTGACGTTAAGTTAGTCACGAGGACGAGAAAGTGCAACGCACAATATATATGTATATATGTTAAGAGCATAATAAAAATAACGTACCGCAACACGCATACGTATCACGCGCACACGCACACGAAAAGGTTGATAGAGTTATAGATAACAGATAATAGATAGTAGATAAATATACACGAGGAGGAGAGCTGGCAGATGAGATACGCGAGGAGAGAAAAAAGAATAAATTATTTCGGAAGGAAGATTGGGTTAGAGAAGAAACAGGAAGTCAAACAAATAAAATAATAGAGCAAACCAAATTTTTATGGACGAACGACAAAATAATGGCGGACGGTCGTGGTCGGGACTGTCTTCGTGAATAATGGTGGGCATCCGGTCGGCCGGGGGGAGTGAATTTGAATTTTCCAAAAAAAACAAATTATTAAAAATTAATTACAGAAATTTCGAAAAACCAACTATGGATAAACGATGTGAATTTTGTTATCGCTGGTTTCGTTACATCATTTTTCGTTTGGTTTTATTTTCGGGGAGGGGGGGAATGGCATTTTGAAAATTTTTTGCGATGCTCGAGTATAACGTGACTGGAGT